GTATCTTCTTTAATCCCAATATGCCATCGATTAATGAAACTCGTTTGATTGGTTGCCAAGGCAATTAAGTGGGCCAACCGGCTAAACTCGCCCATCAAATCTCAGCAGTGCAGTTTTGTTGACAAGTATTGTTAAAAAATACTGTGTCCAAGTGTCAACTTTATTGGAGCTAAATAATACAACAGAAATCACGTAAAGTTCGGGTGTTGTTGTTTTTTTCTCCGCATTCGTCTTAATTTGTTCACGATTAACTCGAGTGTTAGGCCTACTGGATTCTAATGCTTCGACAGCTTTCGGCATGTAAAACCGGAACCTGAAATAACAAAATACATTTTCTAGTATAGGGTAGCAGTCAACAGTGGGGTACTGCAGACTTTGCTAATTCGTTTCACGCTCTCGTGGCCTAGAGACTGAACATATTTCAGCTTTGGTGATATACTTATTCTAAGAACAATTTTTACATGTAGTTAAAGTGAGTTTTAACATTCGAAAGTATTTCATAAGAAAACATAATAGTGAATATTTATACACATAAATAGGATATATATATATATATATTATTAACATTTAATAAATGAAATAATTAATTATGACACAGTTACAGTTAATTTTTGAGAAAAATGTTGTTAATATCAGTCCTATTTGCTAGTGAGGAGAAAAAATCAGTTAGCATGGATTCGCTATTGCTTTCTAAAGCTAAGGTCGAGGCCTGCATTTGGTTCTTCGTTAGACGAGAATTTAACAAAATATTACATCCGTATAAAATCCTTTTAAAATAATACCTAAAAACACATTAACACAATAGGTAAAACAAGACCAGTAAGCACCACTGGAATGGTTTTGTGGTTGCAAGATATTACGTACGTTTCTATTGTCTTTTAATTGTGTTAAACTTCTCGAGTTGTTTCACAGTTTTTATGAATTAACAAATAAAGGTAACTACTTCTGAAACAAAATTAATCAAAAATCTAGCATTTTTTAAACCACTTACATGATCTGCAATCGGTTTATAAAATATCACTGAAATTATTACAAAACAACAACTTAAATACTACGATCTATGGGTTTTAAAATTAAAACATAATGTTCCAATTTATAATATCTAATGTAATACAATGACACCACTTCCGTTTACATGTTCCAATCCCGCTTGTTGACTGAACCAGTTAAGAACAATAGCATCTGCATCGGAATTCTCCAATAAGGTGGACTATTTCCTGTCATAAGCTACAATCAATAGGTGATTAGGACACCTGGACGTCCACGTGACTTTGCCACATGTGACGGTAATCTTCAAATTATGGCCTAAATACTCTTAACACTATCTCCTTTTATCTACAAAAAGGGACGGCCCGAGTGAGGTTTCAAAAGACTATTTATTGTCCTCGAAGTTCCCAAAAAGCTACGTGCACGAGGCTGTAAAATTCTGAAGTGCACAATATACGGAATTAGTGTGATGTTAAGTTTAAAGAAGTGATTGTCAATACACGGTATTCGGTCTATCAATATAGAGCACCTGTTAGCTTGCTTCAACATAAGTTGGCTTGACAGGAATACTTTTATATCAAAACAAAATTATACAAAGAAAGAAACCTTTACATATAGAAACAAACATTCTTCTAAAGATTTACTACATGAAAACAATAACATTTTTCTAATATTTTAAATGTTCTCCTAAAGAAATGATTATGCTGTAAACCAGTGGTTCTTAACCTTTTTTGCTCCATGCCCCACATCGACACCTCAAAAAATTTGATGCCCCCTTAATATAAAAACAAATTTGGTGTTGAAAAGGTATAATAATATAATGTCAAATTTTTCTTATTGTAGCATTTTCAAATTGCCCCCCTATGGGGCGTGCGCCCCACGTTCAAAATCACTGCTGTAAACGTTCCCTGAATTTAAAACATTAAAAACAAAGTGTCGAGGAGTAATGAACAACTGTAGCTGTAAAAAACAACAACAAACAAACAGCCATACATGCCAACAGAAATCAGTTGGTAAGATCCCTAGTTTCAACAGCAAAATGCAGAAGCTTGCCTATAAGTTGCTCTAGACATATGACGTCATCTTTTAGTAAATGCTGATAAATGTACCGAGCACTCATCTCAAGTGGTAACAACCTTCGAAATGTAAGAAAGTAAGTTAAAAGTAAAAAATGAGAATTCTTTCGTTTTTCCTTTCCATTCAGAGTATATTTCCAGGCAAGTACAAAGAACCGTTACATGAAGTAGAGATTAATATATCATGAGTACGCAGTTCCGCTTTAATCTTTCAACGTAACACATAAGAAGGTTTTAATGAGAGAACGCCCACATAAAAAGCATTCAAAAATTTCACGTGGCTTCACGATGATGGCTGCGTTCACAGGCCACGCCACCAAATCAACACCTTTCTACACAAGGACAAGCAGCCTCACCTGACAGCTTCGACTTCAGTTTACACACTTGAAAATTTCCCGGAGAAAGCGTTCATGGTTATAAACAAAAGGCCAGAGGAGCTGATAGAGAAAATATACAAACGGTGCCCTTGCTTCTACACTTAACTAAACATTGGGTGCTTGCCAGAATGAATATTTTGCAACTCTGTTCCAATATGAGTTAACATATCAACGAGAGGCAGAGTCATTGTATCAATCTGTACATTCTTCAAATGTTGACCACAACGAGAGATAGAGTCATTATATCAATCTGTACATTCTTCAAATGTTGACCACAACGAGAGATAGTCATTATTTATATCAATCTGTACATCCTTCAAATGTTGACCACAAGGAGAGATAGAGTCATTATATCAATCTGTACATTCTTTATATGTTGACCACAACGAGAGATAGTCATTATATCAATCTGTACATTCTTTATATGTTGACCACAACGAGAGATAGAGTCATTATATCAATCTGTACATTATTTATATGTTGACCACAACGAGAGATAGTCATTATATCAATCTGTACATTCCTCATAATGTTGACCACCTCTCTCCTGAAGACACGTCAGCAATTTTCAGTTTTAAAGTATTTAAACTCGTTTGATTGGTTGTCACAGCAATTAATACGTGAGACAACCGACTAAACTGCACCATCAAGTCTCTGCATTGCAGTTATGTCGACAGTGTTGTTAGAAATACTGTACCCAAGTATTAACTTCAATGAAGGTAAATAATAAAATAGAAAGTATGTTTACAAAGGGGTAGATAACATTAGTTTTAGGTTTTCTGAGAAGTATCGAGAATCCCGATTTAA